CCCTGAACCAAAGGCAGACGCCCAACCACTGAGCCACCAGGCGTCCCCAGATATGAGGGTTTTTTTTCCCCCAGATCTGAGTTTTAATCCTTACTCTACCAGTTGTTACCAAGTAACTTAACTTCTCCCTCATCAGTCAAGTGAGTTTAAGTACTATGAGATTTAAATGAGATAAACACGTATAAAGTCTCCGGTACCTGATGCTCAATAAATGTCAGGTATTCCCTTCCTCTTCTCCACTCTTTCTTGCTGGCCTTATCATAATTTCATCTACTTGAGGACAGATGTTACATTCCACCCTTTTCCAAATTAAATATCCCCCAGTTCCTAAACCATTCTCCTAATAATAACTCTGATTCATTGCATACCTACAACACACAGTATGTGTCAGGCACTGCCAAAGGCCTAACAAGTTAAATAACTTGCCTAAGGCCACATAAGCAGAATCCAGGATCAAGCCTAGATCTGTCTGGCTCTGAAGCCACACCTTCAAATCCAGATTTGAAGTGCTATCCAATTGAAATATAATGTTAGCCACATATGTAATGTAAAATATTCTAGTAGTCACACTTTGAGAATATAGCAGCAATTGTACAGCAATTGCAAAAGACTCAAGATGGGAGCATCCTTGACATGTTCAAGTAAAAGCAAGGAGAAGAACATGGCTAGAACTGAGCAGATGGGGGGCAAGCACAGATGGGGACTGTTGGTATATGGTTGAAGAGGTAACAGGTCATGGGGACAAATCATGTAGGCATAAGGAGGACGTTGGATTTTACTTGGAGTGGCAGAATGACATGAACTGATGAAGATGCTGGAGTTAATTAGGTTGAAAAATGATGGTTACACCTTTTCCATGGGGCTATGCATATAGGAAGCAGCCAATAAATGTCAGGACATTCCTGGGGGAAATATTAGTTTATAACACTAAGATTGAGAGCCTAGCATTGCATCTAATGGTAGTGTAGATCTACCTTAATTCCCAGCGGGCCACTCTAGAGAACTGATGAAGGAATTGTGTATATGTACATGTGTCTTGCAATTCATGTTGATGGCCTGCTGTCCTGAAGAAGACTGCTCAAGAACTGGTCCTCATCCTTTAACCCCAATCTAGTGACTGTCTGGGAAGCATTAATGTATGAACTTTTCTCCTCCTTTGCTGCCACTAACTGTAATAACTGGGGAAATTTACTGTGGAGAAAGAGCCTGGGAATTCAGTAGGAAGCATGCTAAAGAAACAGGCTTGGTGACAAAGAATTGAATTTGAATATGAATTCTGCTTTTTTGCTGGCTTTTGGCTTTGGGCAAGTCACCTGACATCTCTAAATTTCTTTCTCTTCTCTGTAACGTGGAAATGGTGATATCTATATTTTAGCAGTATTTGGCATATCTACACACATATAGTTTCAAGTTGTCGGTATATAGCAATTCAATAATCGATAGCTATTGTGATGTGTTCAACATTTTTGAACCCCTACTATATACAAAGTACATTATTATGGACTGAATGTTTGTGTCTCTTCCCAAATTCATATGTTGAAACCCTACCTTACAATGCAATAGTAGTACTAGGAGGAGGGGCCTTTGGGAATAGTACTAGGAATACTTAGGATTAGATGAGGTCATGATGGAAATGCCCTCATGAGTGGAATTGGTGCTTTTATAAAAGTCCCGAGAAGTTTCCTTTGCTCTGCTCTTTACCATGGGAGGATATAACAAGTCAGCAGTCTGCAACACAGAAGTAGGCTCTCACCAGAATCCAACCCTGCTGGTACCCTAATGTTATACTTCCAGACTCCAGAACTGTGAAAAATAAACTTCTGTTGTTTATATGCTGCCTAGTTGATGGCATTTTATGATAGCAGGCCAAGCTAAGACACATATGTAAAGAAAATAATGACTCTTCCCTTCAAGATGTTTACAATCTATACCAGGGAGATGAGACATACATAAAATATATTCAATAAGACAGAATATGCTGGGACGCCTGGATCACTCAGCGGTTGAGCACTGCCTTCGGCTCAGGTCCTGATCCCAGGATCCAAGATCGAGTCCCACATCAGGCTCCTTGTGGGGAGCCTACTTCTCCCTCTGCCTATGTCTCTCTCATGAGTAAATAAATAAAAACTTAAAAAAAAGACAGAATATGCTTGCACAAATGAGACACAAGATATAACACCAATAAGAGTTACCATTTATTGATTGCTTACAATAAGCCAGGAATTCTAAGTGTTTCATAAACATCTCATTTAATTTTTACAAATTCCACCCCTTAAAGAAGTACTATTTTTATCTCTATTTCACAAAAAAGGAAGCTGAGGCCCAGAGAGGGGAAGTGAATTGCCCAAGGCTGCACAGCTGGATGGTGGCAGAGGACAGAAGTGAGCCCCATTCTGCTCCTTAGGTCTCACGTCCTTATCAGAAAAATCCATTCCTGTAACTCCTAGGCTTTGTCCAACTTTTACCATTTTGTTCACCCATCTCTAGCCCATTTTAAAAAATTTAACCCTACTTTGAAATTCCAGATAAAATTTGAATAAATACTATGGTGGGTGACTGGGTGGCTCAGTGATTGAGCATCTGCCTTTGGCTCAGGTCGTGATCTTGGGGTCCTGGGATCAAGTCCTGCATCAGGCTCCCCACAGGGAGCCTGCTTCTCCCTCTGCCTGTGTCTCTGCCTCTCTGTGTGTGTCTCCCATGAATAAATAAATAAAATCTTTTTTTTTAAAAGAATAAATACGATGGTGCCTAAAGGACCCATAATTTACTAGACTTTCCTTTCTGAAGTTAGTGTCCATATAGGAAGAAAGAGCAACAGCAATTTTACAATCTCCTCCCATCATTATAGTAATGAGAGCTTGTCACTCTGCCCAACATTGTGACTCACCAGGCTGACCAGAAGGCACATCCTAAGCCCCAGGATATATGCGGCCTTAATAACTATCAGAGTCCTGTGCAAGGTCCAGTTCAGCCATCTTCTTTCCATGTTCTACACACTCTTTCAGGGTGATCTCATTTATGTTCATGTCTTTAGCTACCATCTATGAGGCTCTGACTCTGAAAGGTCTACCTCCAGTCCAACTCTCCTCTGAACTCTGTCCGGGCACTAGTGCTTGGGTGCTTCATAAACCTCAGGCTCAATGTATCTACATATGAACTCATCTTTCCTGCCTCACCCACACTGCTTTGTGTTTCCTAGTTCAAAAAAAAGCACTACCATAGCCACTCAAGGTAGAAATCTAGACACCTGTGACTCCTTCTATCTTTAGCTCTGGTTAGTCATCAAATCATTCTCTTCTATATTTTTAAAATCTGCCTTTTGTCCTATAATTATCTCTCAGCTGGAGTTGTGCCAAAGCTCCTAAACTGGTCTTCTTTCTCCAGGCTCTCCTTTCTCAAGCTTTTTTTTTCACATTCCAGCCAGACTGATCTTTTTAAAGCTCACAAATGTTATTTAAGTCCAGCAGGCAAAGTCTTCCAGGGTCTGGGCCTTACTCCTTCCCCAGACTCATTTATTTCAGTCCCTGACCTCAGATTCTATACCCTAATTCTATTTAACTCAGTGTCCTTTTGAACATACCGTTCCCTTTACCTGAAATTCCCTTTTCTCTCTTCTTTATCTAACACCAATTGACACTTCAAGTTACTCTGGGCATCGATTACCTTTTCCAAGAATCCTTCATTGATGCCCTCAAGATGGACCAAGCATCCTACTTGCTTCCAAAGGGGATGAGCTGTTGATATCTCATTTTCCTATTGAATCAAACTTCATAGTACAGACTCCTTAGTTTAACCCTCTGATTCCCACAACATGCCTATAAACTCATTTGAGGATACAGATGGAGTTAACACCTAACAAAATGTCAAGAACAGTCTAGACCTTCAAGAAATGTTCAATATTTTAAAAATTAATGAATGGGAGATAGTGGATTACAGCAGGGGAACTAGAGCTGTAAGTGTAAGTCCAGTACAGTAATTAAGAGAGGGCTCTGGGGATCCCTGGGTGGCTCAGCGGTTTAGGGCCTAACTTTGGCCCAGGGCATGATCCTGGAGTCCTGGGATCGAGTCCCACGTTGGGCTTCTGCATGGAGCCTGCTTCTCTCTCTGCCTGTGTGTGTGTGTGTGTGTGATGAATAAATTTAAAAAAATTTTTTTTAAGTGAGAGGGCTCTGAAGTCAACAGCTTATATTGGTATTGCAGCCATTCCTTTGCATGCTATTTAACAACTCGTTGCTTCGGTTTCCCCATCAGTAAAATTACAGTAATCATTGTACTTGGCTCATAGGGCTACTTTGAGGATCAAACTTAAAGTTTTGGTATTTTGTTCATTATTTATTGCCTTAAACTTGTAAAATACCGCATTAAAATAGTATTTATCTTAGCTACCGAGTTTCTGGTGTCCCTTTATTCTTTTCACTCCGAGGGTACGTCTTTCACTTCATTCTAGTCCTCACTTTGCACCTTATATGCTTGACAAATATTAGCAGCGTGCAACAAACATTCATTGAATTTATCTTCCTATATTTTCAAATTAAGTAAAATATATTCAGTGAAGTGAACAAATATTAAGTGTTTTGCTGAGCTCCCTAATTGTTCAGAACATTATGCTTTGCAATAAAAGGTGTCTCTTGGTCGTCAGGTACCCAACAAAAAGAAGTCTATTTTGTAAGTCTGTTTACCGCAGCTCCCTTCCCTGGGCGCTCTTTTGCCCCCGTCAGTTTCAAGAGATTTCCTAGACAATATCATTCCAGATCGTCGAGCTTGAAAAAATATTTTCCTAGAGGACGCCAAATGACGTCAAGCGCCTCCCCTCCCCCGCCGTAAATCCCCGGGAAGCCTCCCAGGCAGGCCGCCATCTTCCTTACAGCGGCCCTGCGTCTCGCGCATGCGCTTCTGTTTGCGAGGCTGCAAAGAGCGCGGTTTGGTTTTTTTTTTTTTTAATCCCTTCTCGGCACCCTTACGTCGCGGAGCACCAGTGTCGAGATTTGCGTGACGTCCGCTTCCTGCCGGAAGTGGAAAGGCAAGAAGTTGTTGCACTACCTGGAGGGCTTTAACTTTAGGGCTGGGGGCTAGTTATTTAAATGCTCTGAGGTGCTGGAGAGGATACGTTACCCACTTTGCGAGAAGAGACCAGAGCGCGCTCGGAGGTGTGTTTCTAGTGTAAGTGGGCACGTGTCTTTGATGCTGTCTTCAGAGGACCTAAACCATCCTTTTAAAAGAATTTCGCGCTTCCGCCCTCGCTCTCTTGGAAAGGCGTTTTCAGAGAGGCGGAACGCCTAGATTTTAGTCTGATTCAAGCTCCGCCACCGACATGCTGTGTATCCTTGGGCCCCTCTCCGAGACTCCATTATCTTCATCTATATATTTTTTCTTTTTTTAAATTTTTGTTTATGATAGTCACAGAGAGAGGCAGAGGCAGAAGCAGGCTCCATGCACCGGGAGCCCGACGTGGGATTCGATCCGGGTCTCCAGGATCGCGCCCTGGGCCAAAGGCAGGGGCCAAACCGCTGCGCCACCCATCCCTATCTTCATCTATAAATTGAAGAGTAGACAATCTTTTAACAGACAACCTTTCAGTTCTGAATGTTTTTACATGTCCGAGCCACAAAGTCTCGGTTGGTTAAATATCGTTGGCCCCATTTTATAAGGAAGACGTTGACTTCCAGGTTTGATGACTTCCTCAAAATTACACAGAAAAAAAAAATTACACAGAAAACGTTTAGACACTGAGACTGGAAAGGTTGTGCTGTAACTCCATGACCAAGTATCCTTTGTATATTTCTGTATCATCAGTTCCTGAAGCTGGCCTATAGCAGTTACTCAAAAAATTTGAAGGGTTGAATGAATCTTTTCATATCGAGGCCAGTGACACAAACAGATCTATTGTTTCTGTGCCCCGCTCATGTATTAACGATGTAACACTTCTCCAGGTGTTTATTGTGCTTTACTTGACTGGGGAGTCCGAAACCAGTTCTGTTGTCTTCAGCTCAGTCAGACACCATGGAGGCACCTCCAGTCACCATGATGCCTGTCACTGGAGGCACCATTAATATGATGGAGTACCTGCTGCAGGGTAAGTAAACCAGGCAACTTGGATGACCTGTTTTCCTCTTTCTGATCAGCACTGTGGGGATGAGAGGCTGTTACACAAAGGCAGCCTGCATAATTTCTGGCACCCAATAAGACAACAACTTTTAAAAAATCTTTAAATGTTAATTATGGTCACCAACACATAACATTAAGTGTACATACAGTTCAGTAGTGTTAAGTATATTCAACATTGTTGTATAACTGATCTCTAGGAACTTTTTCATCTTGCAGAACTGAAAGTCTATACCCATTAAACACCAATTACTCCTTTCCCCTCCCTCAGCTCTTGGCAACCACTTTTTGACTTTGTTTCTGATTTTGGCTACTTTTGATATCTTAGATGAATGGAATCATACAGTGCTTGTCTTTTTATGACTGGCTTGTTTTGCTTAGCATAATGTCCTCAAGGTTCATCCCTATTGTAGCATCTGACGGGATCCCCCTTTTTAAAGCTGAATAACATTTCATTGTGTGTATAATCTGTTTATTTATAATCTATTTATTTACATTTTAAATTTATTTATTTGTCATTTGGGTTGCTTTCACCTTTTGGTTATCATGAATAATGCTGCAGCAAACGTGAGTGTGCAAATATCTCTTCAAGATCCTGCTTTGGGGCAGCCCCGGTGGCGCAGCGGTTTAGCACCACCTGCAGCCCAGGGCGTGATCCTGGAGACCCAGGATCGAGTCCCACGTCGGGCTCCTTGCATGGAGCCTGCTTCTCCGTCTGCCTGTGTCTTTGCCTATCTCTCTCTAGCTGTGTCTCTATGAATAAATAAATAAAATCTTTAAAAAAAAAAGATCCTGCTTTGAATTTTCGATATATGCCCAGAAGTGGGATTACTGGATCATATAGTAATTCTATGATACTGTCATTAGCCCCATTTTATAGATCAGGAAACATGTAAAGTACCTTGCCCAGATGAGAAAACTCAAGATCCAGAGAGGGCAGTGATTTTCAGGAGGTCATTTAATGTTAGTGGAAGAGGTTAGACTTTAATTCAGATCATCCATTTAGTAACTTAATATGAACAACATTATTAATTTTCACTCCTCAAGCTACTTTTCAGTCTTTCCCAACCCAGTAAGTGCCACTGTCATTCACCAGTTGCATGAACCAAGCATTTAGGAGTCAATCTGTTTTTCACTTTACCCCCACATCTAGCATATCTCTAAATCCTATTCATTTTACTTCCAATGTATCTTTTAAATATTCTCTCCACCTACAGTACCACACCCTGGTTTACCATCCCTCATTTGAACTACTTTAGTAACCTTTTATTCCATTGTTTCTACTTCTGACTATCACTATCTCTTCTCATACCAATAGGTAGTCAGCTTTTTATTTTTTTATTATCTTTTTTTTTTAATTTTTATTTATTTATGATAGTCACAGAGAGAGAGAGAGGCAGAGACACAGGCAGAGGGAGAAGCAGGCTCCATGCACCGGGAGCCCGATGTGGGATTCGATCCCAGGTGTCCAGGATCGCGCCCTGGGCCAAAGGCAGGCGCCAAACCGCTGCGCCACCCAGGGATCCCTCTTTTTTTTTTTTTTAAGTAAACTTTATGCCTAGCATAGGGTTTGAACTCAGGACCTGTACATTAAGAGTTGTGTGCTCAGGACACCTGGGTGGCTCAGTTGGGGGAGCATCCAACTATTAACTTTGGCTTAGGTCCTGACCTCAGGCTCTGGGATCAAGCCCCTTGTCAGGCTCTGCGCTCAGTGGGGAGTCTGTTTCCCTCCCCCTCCATCTGCCCCTCTCCACCTGTGCAGGGCTCTCTATCAAATCTTGTAATTTTTTTTTTATTTATTTATGATAGTCACAGAGAGAGAGAGAGAGAGGCAGAGACACAGGCAGAGGGAGAAGCAGGCTCCATGCACCGGGAGCCCGATGTGGGACTCGATCCCAGGTCTCCAGGATCGCGCCCTGGGCCAAAGGCAGGCGCCAAACCGCTGGGCCACCCAGGGATCCCTCTATCAAATCTTTAAAAAAAAAAAAAAAAAAAGGTTGCATGCTCTAGCAACTGAACCTGGTAACAGTGTAACACTTCTCCAGGTGTTTCTTATGCTTTGCTTGACTGGAGATTCTGAAACCAGTTCTGTTGTTTGCAACTTAATCAGACACCATGAAGGCACCTCCAGTCAGCATTATGCCTATCACTGGAGGCACCATTAATATGATAGAGTCCCTGCTGCAGGGGACCTACCAGGCATCCCCAGTAGTTATCTTTTTTTAAAATTTGTTTTATTATTAAAAAAAATTGTTTTATTATTTAAAAATTCAAACATAGGAACATCAGGTGGCTCAGCAGTTGAGTATCTGCCTTCAGCTCAGGGTGTGATCCTGAGTTCCAGGATCAAGTCCCACATCAAGTTCTCTGCAGGGAGCTCTCTGCTTCGTCCTCTGCCTATGTCTCTGCCTCTCTCTGTGTCATTAATAAATACATAAAAAATATATTTTAAAAAGTTTAAACATAAAGAAAATGGAGACTGATATACTGAACAGTCCATTTCTATCATCTAGATTTCATTTTGCTTCATATTGCCATATTTGCTTCATCTTTTTTCTTTCACTGTTTTTTTTTTTTAAGTTTTTTTCTTAAGAGGGACAGAGATTTTTTTTTTAAAGATTTTTATTTATTTATGAGAGACAGAGAGAGAGAGGCAGAGACACAGGCAGAGGGAGAAGCAGGCTCCATGCAGGGAGCCCAATGTGGGACTCAACCCCAGGACTCGATCCTGGGACTACCAGGATCACGCCCTGAGTTGAATGCAGGTGCTTAACCACTGAGCTACCCAGGCATCCTGGACAGAGAGAATCTTCAGCATCCTCTACTCCCAGCACAGAGCCTGATGCAGGGCTTGACCTTAACAACCCTGAGATTATGACCTGAACCAAAATCAAGAGTCGAATCCTTAACTGATTGAGTCACTCAGGTGCCCCTTAAGATTGTATATTTAAGTAATCTCTACACCCAACATTGGGCCCAGACTTACAACTCTGAGAGCAAGAGTCACATGTTCCGCTGACTGAGCCACCAGGTGCCCTGCTTTTGCTGTTCTTTTTTTTTTTTAATTTTTATTTATTTATGATAGTCACAGAGAGGGAGAGAGAGAGAGAGAGAGGCAGAGACACAGGCAGAGGGAGATGCAGGCTCCATGCACCGGGAGCCCGACGTGGGACTCGATCCCGGGTCTCCAGGATCACGCCCCGGGCCAAAGGCAGGCGCCAAACCGCTGCGCCACCCAGGGATCCCTGCTTTTGCTGTTCTTAAAGAAAAATTATTTTTTTTTGTAGGATTTTATTTATTTATCAGAGAGAGAGAGAGCGCACGCACAAGCTGGGGGAGAGGCAGAGGGATAGGGAGAAGCAGACTCCCCCTGAGCAGGGAGTCTGACATGGGGCTTGATCCCAGGATTCCAAGATCATGACCTGAGCCAAAACCGGCTGTTCAACTGACTGAACCACCCAGGCACCCCTAAAGAAAATTTCTACCTGGGATCCCTGGGTGGCGCAGCGGTTTGGCGCCTGCCTTTGGCCCAGGGCGCGATCCTGGAGACCCGGGATCGAATCCCACATTGGGCTCCCAGTGCATGAAGCCTGCTTCTCCCTCTGCCTATGTCTCTGCCTCCCTCTCTCATTCTGTGTGACTATCATAAATAAATAAAAATTAAAAAAATTATTTAAAAAAAAAAAAAAGAAAATTTCTACCTCATAACATTTTACCCTTAAACTCTTCAGTATGCATCTCTAAAAAACGGATATTTTTCTTCATAACCTTAATATCAACATTATTATCTTTTTTTAAATTTTTTTTTTATTTATTTATGATAGTCACAGAGAGAGAGAGAGAGAGAGAGAGAGAGGCAGAGACACAGGCAGAGGGAGAAGCAGGCTCCATGCACCGGGAGCCCGATGTGGGATTCGATCCCGGGTCTCCAGGATCGCGCCCTGGGCCAAAGGCAGGCGCCAAACCGCTGCGCCACCCAGGGATCCCCTCAACATTATTATCTTGAGAAAATTAATAACACATCTTAATATTATGTAACATCTATTCCATATTCAAAAGTTTCTCCTCAAAATGTTTTGTAACTAGGATGCAATAAAGTATCATGCATTACATTTGATAATTGTGTCTCCTAAGTCTCTATTAATTTGGACCAGTCTCCCCTCACGTACATTTTTTTCCCCTCACGCCCCCCGCCCCCCATCTTGTTGAAGAGCCCATACCAGTTTTCCTGGAATTATCCTTTTAAAATGTAAATGCAGGGCACCTGGGTGGCTCAGTGGTTGAGTATCTGCCTTTAGCTCAGGTCATGATCCCAGGGTCCTGGGATCGAGTCCTGCATTGGGCTCTCTGCAGGGAGCCTACTTCTCCCTCTGCCTGTGTCTCTTACTCTCTCTGTGTCTCCTGTGAATAAATAAATAAAATATATTTTTTAAAAATGTAAATCCAATTATGTCTTTCTCTGTTTTGTTGAAAATGAAGTGTGGAGCTCATAGCTGCCCAGTGACCTTTGGGTAAAATACCATCTTCACCATGGATTATATGTCAGGCTTACATGCTGTGGCCCAGGCCAAATCCTTACTTCATTATCATCCTCCTCCTTATAGCACTCAGGCAAACTGATACCTTTCCATTTTCTTTGATTCCTCAGGCCCTTTACTATCTCTGTGCCTTAGAACTTGATGATCCCTCTGGCCCAGTACTTTTCTCCAACTATTCAAATAACCATCTCATTTTCATCCTTCCAGCCTCAGCTTAGTTGTATCCCCTGGGAGAGACCTTCTCTCACACCAACCCTTAAGAGAAGTCTTCTCCACCCCTCCAATTGTTCTCTATCCCATCTCCTTTTATTTCCTTGTATTTGTTTGTTTACTTATTTTTTGTTAGTATATGTTGATGAGCCAACACTTACAAAGTCTCAAGTGTTTGAGAAATGAACAAACACATGTCTGATACTGTCCTGAAATATAGGGTACAATGTATTGAATGTAAGACTTCTTCCCTGCTCCCATGATCTTCTATCCTATGGTTACTGGGACCTGATCTGTTGCTTTTACTACAATACTCCTAATTTCCAAGAATTCAGTCCTTTGATACCACTATCAGTATTTACCATGGTAACAATATATACTCTTATTTAAATAATTTATTCAATAAATATTTGAATATGTTCCCAGCAGTGGAGGAAGAAAGATGAGTAAAGCATCAATACACAATTGATATATCGAAGATGACTAAAAAATTGAGGTGATAATGCTTTTAAAGAAAACTAAAGCAGAGAGGTGGAAAGATATTGGAGGAAGATGTGCTGTCTTATTTAGGGTGATCAGAAAAGACCTCTCTGATAAAGTGACACGAGCTGAAGACTTGAAGAAAGTATTCAGGTTTGGCATGCAGATACCAGTGAAAAAATTTTTCTAAGTGTAGGGGCTAAGGGAAGAGGTTCTGAGTAGAAATACTTTATCAAATACTTGACAATTTTAGGAAATAACAGGAAGATCACTGTGGCTGGTGAGAGGATCTAGGGAGATAGTGGAAAGAAATGATGTTGGACTGGTAGCAGAGACCACAATGTATAGGGCCTTGTAGATGATGATAAAGACATTGGGATTTATTCTGAATGACAAGGGAGGCATTGGAGGATTCTGAGCAGAATATCATTATCTGCTTTATATTCTAAAAAGACCACTTGGCTGTTATGGGGAGAAGGGTAGAAGCAGGCAAGAAATGAAGGAGATTTGGACTAGATGGAAATGAATGAGGGGCTGAGCAGTGGTTGGATTATGCATGTATTTTTAAAATATGGATTGGGTGTAGGATATGGGGGAAAGAAAGGAGTCAGGATGATTCTGTGGTTTGGAGCCTGGGGAACTAGAAGCAGAGAGCTTCCATTCACTATGATGGGAAAGACTGCAAGAGGAATAAGATTGTGAAGGAAAAGCCAACAATTGGATACTGAACATATGAAGATGAAGATATCTGTTAGGTATCCACGTGGAGAAACTGAGTAGACAGTTGGCTATATGAGTCTATAGTTCATGAGTTAAACATGGGAGTCCTCAGGGCATAAGTGGCATTTAAAACCATAGCACCAAATTAGGTCACCTTGAGAGGAAGAGATTGTTAAAAAGAGGACCAGGATTGAGTCCTAGGATCCTTTAGTATTTAGGGAAGGTGAGAAAGATCCAGCAAAGTAGACTTAAAAGGAATGGTCAGTTAGTTAGGTAAAGAACTAAGAGTTGTGTCCCAGAGGCCAAGGGAAGAATAGATTCAAGGTGGGTATAATCTAACAACCATGTCAGATGCTGCTAGGAGGATGAATAAGATGAGAACAAAGATCAGTCTATTTTTATGGAGCACTTCATTCTCTTTTACTTAAATATTTTACAAAAAAAGGAAATGTTATAATCTATAGATCGAAAACTTGTGTTGCTAGAAATAAAAGATAATTTTTTAAATAAATGACAAGAGTACTATTATTCTAGTTGTTAAAGCCTCTGAGCCCAGAGCCCCCTGGCAATTAGCATTTAGGGAAGGCCTAAAGGCTTTCTAGTACCAAATAAGACAATGCAAAAAACTGAAAGGGGATTAAGTTTCTCGTAGTGTTATCTAATACCTTGGCAGCATAACCCCTCTGAAATCTCATATATTGGACCTGTGCTCTACAAAACAGTGCAATAAACTGTTTCGGTTTTTCATTTAAATTTTTTCAGTCTTTTGCTAATCCCAGTACTCCAAATGAAAGATGGAACTCAACAATGCTCTTTTGTTCTTCAGGAAGTGTTTTAGATCACAGTTTGGAAAGCCTCATCCATCGCCTTCGTGGTTTGTGTGACAACATGGAACCTGAGACTTTCCTTGACCATGAAATGGTGTTCCTCCTTAAGGGCCAGCAGGCTAGTCCATTTGTTCTAAGGGCTCGGCGTTCTATGGATAGGGGCGGGGCACCCTGGCATCTGCGCTACCTGGGACAACCGGAAATGGGAGACAAGAACCGCCATGCCCTGGTGCGAAATTGTGTGGACATTGCAACATCTGAGAACCTCACTGACTTCTTGATGGAAATGGGCTTCCGCATGGACCATGAGTTTGTTGCCAAGGGTCACTTGTTCCGTAAGGGTATCATGAAGATTATGGTATACAAGATCTTCCGCATCCTGGTACCAGGAAACACAGACAGCACTGAGGCCTTGTCACTTTCCTATCTTGTGGAACTGAGTGTTGTTGCACCAGCTGGGCAGGACATGGTCTCTGATGACATGAGGAACTTTGCCGAGCAGCTGAAACCTCTGGTTCACCTAGAGAAAATAGACCCCAAAAGGCTCATGTGACTAAGACAGTCTGACTGCCACTGGGGCCTATCCTCACCTGTTATAAAGGAGAAGATGTTATAAATGCCCCATTTCATTACTACCAGCCAGGCATTCTTAGGAGGACAGTGAGAACTTAGTTGGGTCGTTACACTGTTTTCCTCATGTGACAAGTTCACTTTTGTGACAGCCTTTCCAAATTAAAGGCTCAGGATAACATGAGAAGTCTATCTAGTCCCTTTGTATAAAGAGGGGAAACTAGAATAAATTAGCTTTCAGAAAGAAAAATCTTTTGTTTTGCTATTTGTGTGTAAGGTTTATAGAGACTGTGAGCTTGTATTGTGGGGTAATAAAGGCTATGAAGAGAAGCATCTGTGATTCCAATTCTTTATTACCCTGCTAATTCGGGGTGGATTCACTACCAATTGGAACCAAAAAAAAATGACTTTTTTTTTTAAGATTTTATTTATTTATTCATGAGAGACACAGAGGGAGAGGCACCATAGGCAGAGGGAGAAGCAGGCTCCATGCAGGGAGCCCGATGTGGGACTCAATCCTGGGACTCCAGATTGCCCTGGGCCAAAGGCAGATGCTCAACCACTGAGCCATCCAGGCATCCCAAAAAATGACACTTTTTAGTTTGAATCCTGATAAAGGTAATAGTTTTTACCTTTAACCAAAGTAGCATGTTCACTGAAAAACCTTTCTTTATTTATTTTTTAATATTTATTTATTCATGAGAGACACAGAGAGAGGCAGAGACACAGGCAGAGGGAGAAGCAGGCTCCATGCAGGGAGCCGGACGTGGGACTCGACTCCAAGATCACACCCTGGGCTGAATGTGGTGCTAAACCGCTGAGCCACCTGGGCTGCCCTGAAAAAATTTTAAATACAGACAAAAATAAGAAAAATGACCTGTAATCCTATTATTCAAAGAGATATGCTATTATTATTTCTAGTATATATCCTTTATTTTTATAAATTTATGTATATGAGATATATTTATAAAATATTCTGTATATACTGGTTTATACTTTTTTTTTTTAAGATTTTTATTTATTCATGAGAGACACAGAGAGAGAGGCAGAGACACAGGCAGAGGCAGAGGGAGGACCAGGCTCCATGCAGGGAGCCCAATGCCAGACTCCATTCCAGCTCTCGAGGATCATGCCCTGGGCTGAAGGCAGACGCCCAACCGCTGAGCCACCCAGGTATCCCTCTTTTTTTGTTTAATCTATAAGTAACACCTTTCCAGGATATTAGGCTGTAGTGTCCTTCTGTAAAAACAAAAAACCTCATTTAAATAGGGAAATTGAGGTAGAGATTAGTTTTCCTTGGGCTAATACAGACATTAATTAGCAGAGCTAGCATGTAAATATTAATAATCATAATTGCTATGTGTATCCCATCATATGGATTTTCCACAACTTAATTGATTCTTCTACTTTGGGATTTTTAGTTTGTTCCCAGTTTTTGGCTTTTATAAACAATCCTCTAGGAGTGCCTGGTGGCTCAGTCTGTTGAGTGCCTGACTCTCAGTTTTGGCTTAAGTCATGATCTCAGGGTCATGGAACTGAGCCCCACATAGGGCTCTGTGCTGGGCCAGGAGTCTGCTTGAGATTCTCTCTGCATGTGCTCTCTCCAAAAGAAATGAGTAAAATCTTAAAAAAAAAAAAATCCTGTAATGTGAGTGCTTTTAATAAAATCATTGTTGACTGTTGACATCTATGAGTATTCTTTAGGATAAATTTTAGGGAACTGCTGAGTCAAAGAGTATGCACTGTTTTCAGACTTCTGCTGTGCATTGCCAAATGCCTTGCAGAAATGTCCCAGTTTTCACTCCCACCAGCTGTAAATGAGGTTCCTAAAAATGTTGCCAAAACTGGATGTGAGTGTGAAAACTTGTTTTTCCCATTTGATGATAAATGGTAACTAGTTTGAATTTTCTTTTAATTTTTAAATTTTATTTATTTTTTTATGTAAGCTCTGTGCCCAATGTGAGGCTTGAATTCACGACCTCAGGATCAAGAGCTGTGCGCTACACTCTACCAACTGACCCAGCCAGGTGCCCGACTTTTCTTTTTTTAATTTTTATTTAATTTTTTTTTAAGATTTTATTTATTCATAAGAGACAGTTTTCTTTTTAAAACACTCACCAGGGCCACCTGGGTGGCTCAGTCAGTTAAGCGTCTGCCTTCAGCTCAGGTCACCATCACAAGTTCTGGAATTGAGCCCTGCATTGGTCTTCTTCTTCAATGGGGAGTCTGCTTCTCCTTCTCCCTCTGCAACTCCCCCAACTCTCTCTCTGTCAAATAAATAAAATCTTTAAAAAGAAACTCATCAGTGAAGTTAAAATTTTTTGTTTATTGGACATTCTTTTTCTTATGTGACTTGCCTTTTCTTCGTTGATTATTCATCTTATCAGTTTATAAAGAGATTTTTATAAAAATTGTTCACATTTATCATTTGAATTTAATATTTTTCTTTATCTAAGAGCGAGCACGGATGGGAGGGGGGACAGGGGAGGGGGGAGAGGGGGAGAGGGGGAGAGGGGGAGGGAGAAGCAGACTCTCTGCTGAGCAGGGAGCCTAACAAGGGGGCTTCCATCCCAGAACCCTCAAGAACATGACCTGAGCTGAAGTCAGACACTTTACCAACTGAACCACCCAGATGCCCCAACATTTTTCTTTTTTTAAGTAACAGTTCTTAGTGGGATAAAAGTGTTGCTCATTTTAATACTTCTCAAGTTTTTAATAAACTGAAGAGAGTTTGGTTTGCTAAAAATTGTAGGTTATTCAAATTTTTCATTTTTTTCCATAATCTCCATTTAGATCACACCCCAGTTGAGCTACATTGGACAGATCATAATTCTCTTTAGAGTTACTTGAAAAATTATATGAATATTCTGTTAGGATGCTTTGGGCTACAAGTAACAGAAAAGCCATCCAAAGCTGCCTTAAACAGTAAGGATAGAATTATCTCACACAACGATAAGTTCTAAGATGGGGCACTTCCAAGTTGGTTAGCTGGTTATTTCTCTAGCTGTGGGATCCTGTTCTTGGCTTTCCCCTGAATGTTTTCAAGATAGCTTCCCCCACCCCCACAGTTGCAGATTGCATAAATGGGTAAATCCTCTTCCTTTCTTCATAGCATATTAGCATAATGATTCAGACAAGGCCCCTTCTTGTTTTTTCCTCTTCCCCTTTTATTCCTAAACTCTATTCTCATTCCCTCTATCCAGTAGGCACCTATTCTGATATGTTTGATGGATGTCTGATGCCTGTCTTGTAATATGTAGAGTTATATGAACATATTCAATTCACACAAATGCTACTGTGCTATAAATGTTTTCTTTCTTTTTAAAAATAACATTGCTTTAACCGTTGTGTATAAACGTACCTCATGACTTAAAACTTGCATATGCTTTCATATTAAGAGGAATATTGATACTCGAGTAGTGCTTAACTCTGGCAGGTGCTTTAAATGCTTTAACTTATATACTTCTCACAATAGAGCTAGGGTAGATATTATTAACTCCCATCTTGTAGAGTGAGACACAGAGAATTTACTCATTTTCTGCTTCTGTTGTTCAAAGTCAGAATTAGCAAATGGAGACTGGATTTCAATTCAGTCTAGCTCCAAAATCCATGTACATCCCCACTTTGCATCCACCCATGTTTTTTTACCCATTCAGTCCCTTGAGGATGGAAACCTAGATTGCCATCAATTCTATTGCTATAAAAAATGCTAAAATAAGCAAATTTGTAAATTTAAAAATATTTATTTGAAAGGGAGGGAGAGCACAGAGAGACAGAGAGAGAAGCAGGCTCCCTGCTGAGCAGAGAGCCCAAAGTGGGGCTCAGTCCCAACACCTTGAGATTATGACCTGAGCTGAAGGCAGATGCTTAACCAACTGAGTCCCCCAGGCACCCTGCAAATTTATACATTGTTGTGGAATATTCCTCTGAACCATATATCATGAGCATACTCAAGTTTGCCAGATATTGCTAGATAAATTTTTAGAATGGCTCTGCTATTTACATTCTTATCACCAGGGTACAAGAACTCTTATACCTGGGTCCTCTTTCTAATTTGTGCTGCTTTGGAGGTTGTCAAGTGGTAGCTCTTGGTTGTTTTGTTTTGCATTTCTCTGGTTATAATCAAATTTGAGACTTTTATAATATGCCTCTTTTTTTTTTTAAGATTTATTTATCCATGAGAGACACAGAGAGAAAAAGGCAGAGACATAGGCAGAGGGAGAAGAAGGCTCCTCACAGGGAACCTGATGCAGTACTCGATCCTAGATCCCAGGATCACACCCTGAGCCAAAGGCCGATACTCAACCACTGAGCCACCCGGGCATCCCATAATACACCTTTTTATATAGGAAATTATATGGACTTCTTAGTATGTGAAACTGAAGTATTTATATCTTTCACCTATTTTTCTAGCTGGTTTCCTGTCTTGTTAGTTGGTAGGAAAGATATGTATATTCTAGACATTCCTTGTTTTTTTTTAAACATTGCAGTTCCTTCTCCCAGTCTGTCACCTTCCTGTTAACTTTGTGATGTGATGTTGTTAGTTAAGCAGATGCCCTAAATTTTGACCTTATGATGTGGAGTCTTGTTTAGGAAGTTTTTATTTACCCAGAGGTAAGCTTTTTTCTTTTATCTTTATAGTTTTAATTTCTGACATTTAGTTTTTTATTTTTTATTTTTTATTTATTTATGACAGTCACAGAGAGAGAGAGACAGAGACACAGGCAGAGGGAGAAGCAGGCTCCATGCACCGGGAGCCCGACGTGGGATTCGATCCCGGGTCTCCAGGATCGCGCACCGGGCCAAAGACAGGCGCCAAACCACTGCGCCACCCAGGGATCCCTGACATTTAGTCTTTAACCTATTATCCACCTTTAATGTAGTCTCAAGTAAAAATCCACATTTTTTTCTTCATATGGTGAATTTTTCTATCACCATCAAAAAAGTCTTTTTAGGGGATCCCTGGGTGGCTCAGCGGTTTGGCTCCTGCCTTTGGCCCAGGGCACAATCCAGGAGTCCCGGGATCGAGTCCCACGTCGGGCTCCTGGCATGGAGCCTGCTTCTCCTTCCTCCTGTGTCTCTGCCTCATTCTCTCTATCATAAATAAATAAATAGATAGATAGATAGATAAATAAATAAATAAATAAATCTTTAAAAAACAAAAGCCTTTTTAATGCTGTGTGAGCCACCTTTATCACATATTAAGTTCTTTCTAAACTCTCCATTCTACTTTATTGGTCTTTTTCTTCGTTTCAATGCCAGCAACACAATGTTTTTATTACCGAGGCTTTGTAGTAGAGCCAGTTCTACCAGTAGGGCAGGTATCCCTA